TTGTATACATAAATACATAAATGACTTCAAAATAAATTGCATGACTAATTAATTTTATGCATTTGAATTGAATAGGGTAAGTCACACTTGAAATATTCCAGTAGAATAGAAAATCTGTTGGAAACTGTAAATAGATCCACAAGAATGGACTAGGCTAACTGTACGTTCAATTTTAAGTATTTATTTCAAAAGAAAAGTAGAAATTTAGCCCAAGTAAATAAAATATGAAAGTTTAAATCTCCATCTTAAAAAAAAATAGAAACCAATAGTTACAGTCGTGGCTTTGACAATTAAGTACTAACAGTCTGAGCACTCCAGTTAGTTCTTTGGCTGTTGATTAGGATTCCGTGGTGGTGATTAGTGAGTGTGAGGATGCAATCACATCTGTAGGGTTTAATCAGTCCAGTGCTAGAGAAGTTAGTCCAAAGATGGAGAGAGAAACTGGAACTTCTGTATGTAATCTTAGTAGGGTTTTTCCCCGTGCTGCAAAAAAGATGAAGGGTAAAAAGTAGAGAAGCCTACCTTCCCCCCCTGCCCCCTCCAAATTTGCAGGGTTTGTAAATAATAGTATTGATTTTCTAGTTCTCTGTTGCAGGAGTATAATGTTGTTGATGCCTGTGGAGAGAAGATGCATGGTGGTACTCACGTATACACCCTCTCTGAAGTTCAGTACTTCCTTCTTGTGAGCGGTATTTGTTTTTCCATACTGTGCAACCATGTATCTGGTTTTCATTTTTGTAAATCTAGTATTTTAAGTGTTTAGTTTGGACGTATGCAATATTTTGGTGTGCTTTCTTTTCTTCTTCTATACATTCTGATTATATGCTGTCTTTTTAACATTTAAAGCATTTCTCTTGAAAAAAAAAAATTACAAATATGAACATTTTGCCTCTGTGTTCCTGTGAAGCAAATAAGTGGACATTTACGTGTGTAGAAACAAAGAACCACTGTGGGTACGCTTGTGTACAGAGGAAACCACAAAAGGAAAACTTTTGGATCTCTGCTCAGACCATAGCTTCTCTGTGACCTTTCTAACTCTGGCTTTGAGTAAAGGTGACCATGTGCTGAATCCCCCTTTAGAACTGTCTCCACTGGTGCGTTCTGAACTTGGAGGAGAAATGAGGTTACTGCCTGGCAGTGCAAGCAGTCCTCCCATTTCTGCCCTTCAGTTCACTGGTACTGCCAGCACACCCTTTTTCTTCTCTACTGCACAGAGCTCAGTTTGTGTAAATAGCATTGCCCACATCAGTGCATGCTTGTATGCTGTTCTGTTGGCATTAATTTCTTCCACATTATCATTCCATGATTGATTTATTCATACTTGTGTTTGATTTTTTTTTTTTTGTTACCGTTTTTCCAGTAGCACCTATAGATCTGTACTGTCATATAATCACATAAGGAGAAGGTTGTTCCTACCTTACAAAGCTTGTAATCAACAACAGCAATCATGTTTTAACAGAATGTTTTCTGGGAGCATGTTGCTGCACAGGTTATAAGGTTTTGTTTTAATGTCAGGGGCCATCCATTTTATGTATATTTATACAGAGCCTAATAGAATAGGTGTGAGTCAGCTTTGAAGTATCTCAGTAAAAATAATTAATGATGAACAGCAGTAGGTATTTATTCACATGCACATACAGAAGGGTTAGGAAATTCTTGCTGTGGTTCTTTCATTTCTTTAGAACATGGGATCTAAATGGCTGGAGTACCTTGTTGAAGAGGGCATCACTGGGGAGAGGACCAAAAAAAAGAAAGAAAGAAGCTGGCTCCAAGGTCCAAGTCAGTGCTTCTTGAGACAGTAATGGGTAAAAAATATGCTAGAGATTCAAACTAAAATGTAAACCATAATTTTACTGAGAATGCTAGTTTGAAAAATAGGAGACAGAACTGTATTTGAAAGATAGAACATAATTAAGCCAAAAAACCCCCATCCACACCCAAACCAAAACCAGAAATTAGTTAGGAACATCCAAGGAGCAGGATAGTAAAATGCCAGATGGTTTCCAAAGGACTAAATATCTCTCTGTTCCTGTTAAGTGGCCCCTGTTTCTATGCTTATATTGTTTGTTACAGAAAACTGCTGTATATTGGAATTATCCTTTTTCCATTTTGTTTGTTTGGTGCAGATGACTTTCACCTCCTAAGGAAGCAAAAAGTCAGTAAGACTATAATAACTGTATTTTATATATCTCTGAATGGAACGCTGCTGATGCCTTTCTGGCTGAAAGGTCCTGTAGCCCAGAATATCTAACAGATATTTTTGAAATAAACTGTGTAGTGCTATGTCACATTAGAATCAATCGTAGTACATTATTGTAGACATACAAGACAAGGCTTATAGGGAGAAGAATTAACTTCTATTTAGGCAACTGTTCATAGCTTAAAAAGGGCCCAAAAACATAAATAAGCTTTTGAGCACACGAGCTCTCTTAACGAGTATCACTAATGATAGCGATTTTTCCTTAATAGTGATAATACTAATGACTTTGAAGAAAGAGAAAAGGGAAGGAAAAGGGAAGAAATTTATCTACTTCATAGCTGTATCAGTAGTATTTACATCTACAGTTGTTACCTCCAAAACTCATTCACTGTAAGGTTAAATCACAGAGTCATAAAAGACTGTCAGTGCATTTAAGGATTGGTAAGTTTGTAAGCAGAACACAAGTGGACTAAAATACTGTTGCTATATAAAGTGCTGATTTATAATTTGGCAAGCCGCAGCGACCTGCGTAGTACAGCCCAGCATCGGTCTGTATTTGAGTCCACAGACTGTCTGCTCTACTCAGCAGACAGTAGCAGCTGAGCCACAAACACCACTGTAAATACCAGCACAACAAATTTACACCAGCTACAGTGTTCAGGTACATTTTTTTTCTTTCAGCCCTACCATAACCATGCCACGCTCTTTTATAGTTTTGTGTTCACTTTTCACTCTGTATGCAGCACAACACCCTGAGAGAGTGGTAGAGTTTGTAAACCCGTCTTGAAGGCCAAAGAGATGAGGCTGAACTAATGGAAAATTTCATATCTCTTGTTTCCAAGAAAAAACCCAAAGTAATAAGCAGTGTTACTAATGTCTAAAGTTAATCTAGTTAATCTCATAGTCTGCATAGATGTAGTGGTAATGTGGGTTTTTTTACTTATTAACATGAAGAAAATAGTACTTCAGCTAATGTACTACTTTGGAAAAATAAAACATCAGGTGGAAAGATGCTGAGCATCAGTGCCTGGCAAAGAAAAGTGAAGTATACCAGCTTTGCTGTGAAATTTCAAGAATCTTCCTTCTAGCCTTGACTGCCAGACTGATGCTAAAGAAAAGCTTAAACATCCTTCATCCCTTGTGCATATTATTACATGCCTCTGGAACTTTTTTCTTCTGCTTTGTTATTCTCTGTCTTTGTAAGCTTTCATGGAAAGAAAGGGACTAGATTATAATAATATTGTAGCACCAGTGCTATTGTGTTTGCAGTAGCCTTAGCCCAAGATAATGATTTGATTAGCATGGCTTTTTCACTTACCAGAATTAAAGATCCATGGATTTTCCTGGTATTCTGTGCTTTCAGGATGATTTTTTTTCACCTTCCTTCTTCAGCTGTATATCTTTGCAGAGAAGTTGAAGGTTTAAAATAGGTATAAAACCTTCAGTAATAGCCAAGGGCAAAAAATTATTACAATGAGTCATCACAGTCAATCCTGCAGATATTTGTACTCTATAAATCCTATGCAATGCATTTGTTCAAAAAGACCATTGTTCCTTAAATCCTTGATGATAGTTCTTCTAAAATTTAAGTTTTCTTTTTTTTTTTTTTCTGCAATGTAGTTGCTATAAATGAGGCTTGACACTTCCAATTTTGTCATTTGAATGGCCTCAAGGAGGCTTTGAAAAATTTGACACACAGAATATGAAATGCTTAACGAGAGTATTAGAGATAAACTAATAGTTCATAGTGCAGTGAAGAAGCAGAGTAATTCAGTGGATTCTAGCAATCCAGATAATGGTGTTGAATTAACACCCCCTCCCCCCCAAGTTTTATTGCTTTAATTAAATTGTTAATAGAGGTATATTTCCTAAAATATTAAAAAATTGTCTCCCCTTCTTTTGCTTCTAGCTCTGTAACACCCAGAAGTTGTGTATGTTGGCAGTAGTAATAAAAGAGAAGCAGACCTTTTCCCTTTGGCAAAGGGTATAAAACCTTGATCCCACTGATGTTAGTGAGCATTTTGCTCTCTGCCTCAGGCCTTGTATCAAAAAAAGTATCCTTTAGTAGAGCTAGTTTTGAGTTTTCTAACACAAGCAATTATTGTGACTACTCAGGGACACCTGTATCACACTTGGTATCTTACAGGTTGCTTAAAGGGGGAAGAAAAAGATCCTTTTCTAAGTCAATTCAGACATTACAAAAATGAAGCAAAATCTTTTTGATATAGAGTTTCGTTTATTCCCCTTTATGCTTTGGTCTATTTTGCATCAAGTCTTGGCGTGGTTCATGTATTTGGTGTTTGACTCGTAAAATCATTTTTAATAGAAGGAAAGGATAAAGTTATTTTTAGCTTATAACATAGGAATAGTTTGAGTTGTCTCTGCTAGAATTAGATAGTGGTCTGTTAAAATTTTATTGCTACTAATTTTCTATTTCTAAATGTATATTCTTTAATGTGAAAACAATTATTTTTACACACTCCCCCAAAAAGCACTACGCAGCGAGAACGAGTAATATCCACCCTCATTTCACTCCACCTGCTTCCAATCTATTTTAATTTTCTAGTTGATGGACTTTTGAAAATGGTTACTTTTTTGTTTTGAATATGTGAATAATTTCCATCTTATTTATTTGCTTCGATAATTGTAAAGACGACAAATTTTGTGCTCTTGAATTTCAGTTTTGCAGATGATATTCGTGTTGATGGTCTATCCACAGCAGTGTGTCTTCTCTCTAACACAGACAATAGTAAATACAGCTTTGGCTTGAGGAAAGCTATTCTTTTTTCTGTCTCTGTAGAAATACTGCAGCACAGTCCAGCTTGATTCTGGAATAGACTACAGGAAACGAGTGCTTCCTGCTGCTGGAAAACTTTACTACCTGTAAGTTTATCTAAGATACGGTGTTTGCCCTCTTTTTCCTTCTTATTAGCCAATAATTTCCTAGTCAATGGGAAATGAAAAATGTATAGTAGAATTAGCAGGGTGTGACTTTTCCTTTCTTTGCCTTCTGGTCCATTTTGTTCAGCAAACCGCCTTCTATTATGCCTTGATATTAACTTCATTAAACTACATTTTCAGTATCCACACTAGCATCATTTATAATGTGTGACTGAATAAAAACTAATTAGATTTTTTGGGGAGGTGTGGTGTTTGGAGAACTGAAGTGACAGATGGTTAGAAAGTAATGAATATCCTCTTGTAAGAGATTGCACAATTCTCTTATAATAGAAGAACATCCTTATTGTATTTAAGTAATTAAGTATTTATAGAAATCCAATGACAAGGATTCATTTAATGTTGGGTGTTTCCAGTGCTGTGGATTAAAAAAAAAAAACACTCTCCTATTTTGACAGATTGTTTCTGTTTATCATGAAAAAAATTCTTTAGCACTTTATTATATATTTACAAATAAATATATTTAAAAATAAATTCATAGTTGTGCTTATGGTTGCAGCATATATCTGCATAATAGAAAAATTCTCTCTTTTTTTTTTTTAATACTTTGAAAGCTTTACATTGCAGACATTTTTCCTATCTTGTATTTGCTCCTAGAGTATTATTTAATTGATGACAACCTGAGCTAGGCAGACGACAATAGCCTCAAATGAGATTTATAACCATCATATCTTTCAACCCAACATACAATATCGATTTAAAAATCACATTTCCATTAAGAAAGGTGCAGTATTTTCGTTGATGTGACAGGTATTTGGAACCAAGTATGTCTATATCACTTTATAATAAAGTTAGGAATTGTAGTTGTTTGTCTGGAAGGGGGAGTACTGCTTGGTAGAAATATAGTAGGTAACACTTTGTGCTTCTGGATGGAAATGCAGAATTTCATATATGGCAAGCAGGCCCAGTGCAGGGTCTGTGTCTTCAAAGTGTGACTGTAGAAGCTCAGGAGGAGCACCTCTCGTTCCGTGCCCTTGCCGGGCTCCACTTGCGTTGAGTTTCGCGCTGGCTGCTCCGCGGTGCTGTTTGAAGCCGCCGCCGGTACCTCGGCGTTGCTCATCGTGGCTCTGGTTCCCATGCCTGCGGAGCTGGCCCTGCTCACGCCTCGGCCTGTTGTGCCCCTTGCACTCCGTGACTTTCTGTTTGATAGTTTGGGAGAGCACCTGCCATATTCTTTCCTCACTGTCCACGCTCCAAAGAAAGGAGGAGCACGTATGTGGGTTCTGTCAGGTAATAAGCTAAACGAACAGGCCCCGGGAGTGGTACCCAGCCGAAATATGAACAGGCCCCAGGAGTGGTACCCAGCCAAAATACGAACAGGCCCCAGGAGTGGTACCCAGCCAAAATACGAACAGGCCCCAGGAGTGGTACCCAGCTGAAATACGAACAGGCCCCAGGAGTGGTACCCAGCTGAAATATGAACAGGCCCCGAGAGTGGTACCCAGCCAAAATACGAACAGGCCCCGGGAGTGGTACCCAGCCGAAGTATTTCATGGTGTTCTGCTGTAAAACTTGTGATCAGGTGAACGGCAGAGGTTGGCGATGAGTCTGTATCATGTTCTCTCATTGGAAGGATGTTGGTTGCCTCTAGAACTTGTTGTGTAAATCATTAGGAAGCAGTGGGGGGAAATAAAAAACCCTGTAGCTGCCAGTGGAAGTAAGATACTTATTTAGTTGTCCTTTCTTTTTCTGAGGGAATCTCATTCATTCTTCTATTCAAACTTGTTCACTGGGGCTTTCAACCCTCCAGAACTAGCTTAGTATGTGGGAATCTTTTTTGTTTGTTTAAAATTAGGTACTATACAGTATTTTGCTACAGATTTTTGAAGTTTAGTTAGCAGTCTTGCCCCCAAAAGAAAATGTGCTTGTCCAGTATGTTTACATTCCCCTATTAATGGTTATAGTATCATCATCACCAGATTTTTTTTTTAAATTCTCTTCGTGCTTCATAATTTGTGTAGTCTTTTCTTCATTTAAAATATGCCACTGAGGGTGGCTTAAAGCTGTTTCATACTCATCTGAAAGCAGTCAGTGTAACACAATTACAAGATTCCTGATCAAAGCAACTTTCTTGAGCTCAGTCTCAGGTGTCTATTTTCAAAACAAACTTTCTTGGCAACTAGGTGCAAATACCCATCTAGGCATCATATTCGGCTGTTTCTTCTTGTAGTCTTTACATCAAACTTTTTGACAGTTACAGGCGTAGAAGTGTGCACTCTTTCCCCCCTTCTGTGGCTATTTTTTCTGGCTTGCTCTGTTCCTTTTCACTTGTCATTTTGTCAGAGGAGAGCAGCACACAAATATCAGTGTTGAGAGAAACTTCTTTTTTTGAAGTTACAATTTTATGTAATCTGTTCAGAAAAGGTTTTTCAAAGTGTTTGGAATAGCATTTGCAGAAGTTTGTGGGTTTTCTTCTAAATTCTTTGCAAATACTAGGTTTGCTATTATTAAGCTTGAGCTAAAAAAGAGTTATTTCAGTTCTGCTGTTAACATATTTAAGGTGCTTAAGGCCTAATGAACAGGAAAGTAATTGTGTAACATGCTGATCATCACTTGTCGTTTAGAGAAGGAACTGTGTGAAGCAATGCAACTTGAGTGCATCCATGATCAATAAAAGCGGACTTTTCACACCATATGAGGTTATACAAATTTCAGTGTAGAATTATATATCCTAGTTTATTGTTTACTGTAGCATCAGTTTGTTTTGCTTTCAGACTCAGCTAGAAATAGTACCTATCTGTCACAATGAAACACAGAAAGGTTGGCTCTCTAACCCATTCAGTGGCAAAAATCGGTTTGATCAGAGAATATTTTATCATCCGTGTGGCAACTGGAAGATGAATATAAACTTTAGTTCAACTCTCAGCACAGATATTTTGCATTTTCACTGTCTGTGGTTGATCTTTTCCCAAATAGTATAAGGGACAGAGAGGGGAAACGGATAAAATTACAAATGAAGAGATCATGCTGGTATTTTGAATTTCATAGTTTGATTTTGCAAATTGTTTGATCAATACAATCAGTTGACTTGATTATTTCCCCCCTCACCTCACCCCCCCCACCCCCCCAAAAAAAGCTGCGCCAATATTTAATTTCACAAAGTCCCCTCTCAGAAATTTCAAAGGATACTTCTTTAGGTGCTTGACTGCCTTGCCTTGTCTATTTGCTCTTATTTTGCATGCAAGATAAAACCAGAAGCCTTTTTTCTCATTGTGTACACATAGTGTTAATGGATCTGCTCTGCCTGTATTGCCTCATTACTGGAAACAGCTCAAAACACAGAAGTCTTTCAGTGTATGCAAATAAGGCAGAATCATCTACCTGAGAGTTAATATTCTCTACTTTTAAGTGTATTCTAAATCTAATGTTTGTATTTAGAGCATAACATCCTGTTCTCTTTTTTATGGGCAAAAAGCTAAGCGGGCTCAGGCAGCTGTTTGATGTTGGCTTCAAGTGTTATTAATTTCATATTCTATTATTCTTTTCACTGTAGCACAAGTGAAGCTGATGTGGAGGCTGTCATGGATAAGTTGTTTGATGAGCTGGCTCAGAAACAAAATGATTGTACGTAAGTTAATTTCTCTTGAAAGAGAATACATTTAGAACACAATGCTCAATCTCCACTGACCAATTAATAAGTTCCATTGCTGTATATGGGTTGATGCCACACTCAAGTGGCAGTCATTGTATCAGCATTTTGTCTAATTTATGTGTTGAATCATGTGCTATTATTCATCAAGCTATGCATTTCCTATCTGTAAGAGATGAATTTTATAGTAATTATCCAGAGAAGATTGAGTCTTTGTTCATGTTCCCATAGTAACTAGACCAAGGATTCTAAAAGTGCAAGGCAGAGAGCTGAGGCTGAATAAAGCGTGTGGAACCATTGCAGACTTCACGTTTGAAGAGCTGTGTGACAGAGTGAGTACCCAGTCAAATCTAGACCAGTTAATGCTCAGACTTTTCACAGTTTAAAAAAAAAAAAAAAAACACAACAAAAAAACCCCAAACAACAACAACAAAAAAACCCAACAGATCCGAAGCACAAAAACTTGCTGTTTTCCAAAGTCATACTAAATTAAAAGGGCTTTTTTTTAACTTGGAAGAAAGATCTTTAATTTAACAGGGGAAAAAAAACCTCCACAAAAGAACAATAATAATTTTCTTTGTAATGATACGGTAAATTCACTCTTACGTATATCACAGAATGATTTCAAAAATCCTAATACAGTATGTGCCTGGGCTAACATCATTGCTGGAATATTAGTAGTCATAACATCAATATGTAAATAACATTCAAATACTGTTTTTAAAATCTGGGGTTTAAATTGATGCTCAAGCAAAGGAGTAGTAATCCTGGCATCACTGGAGTAAAGCTGTTGTTACATGCCTTAGTTGTGAATAGCTGTACAAGGGCTGGTTAGTCCCAGGCCTTCTCAAAATTTGCCAAATTTTGCTAAATAGTGCCAAATTCTCTGCTAAACATGTGGGGTGTGATTCCTGAAAAGCTCTCTTTGTATGTGACTTCCAGTGGGTTTGAAGACAGCGACCCCTCCCCCAGCCCCCCCCCGATTTTGTTGTACTTCACTGACCTCTTTGCAGACATCTGAAGTTATTGTTAAATGATCATGACTCTAAACTGGACCTTTGATTCAGGATACTGACCATTTTTTTTGTTGTAACACTGTGTTTTCACTTCCTTGTAGCTACCAAGTTGATAACTATTTGGACAGAAATTTCACTGGTTGTATTTCAGACTGTAGGTTACAGGCTCTGTTGGTTTTTAGTTTCAGACAAAACCAGTTAGCTGTTTGTGAGAATGGAGGTATGTCATGGGTAGAACAGCTTCCTTTTCACTAGAAGTTTTGAGACTTTTTTCTTCATTGTGCCTCTTAATGTATCAGGAAACTATGCTGTCAGCAAACTCTTGTAAAATTCTTTAGTCCCATAAATGCCTTATGTGCTTGAATGGGATGATCCATTGCTTCTAAGGAGAAGTGCTTTGGTGGTTCACATGGCTGTGGCCACTGCTTTGGGTCTGAAGGTTCTGATCCTGTTGAAGAATTATGTGGGGTTCAGACCATCTTGCTGTAATGGAGCTTTGTTTGAGCTCAGAACAAGGAAAGAGAATAATTATGAAATGTGAAACATCATTTAACAGTATTATTCTTACATTGATCATGTAACTTGAGAAATCGTGCTCTCTCAAGACAGATACCTGCAGATGTATTACGATAGTCTCTAATAGAAGAATCGCATGCTTAAAATTAAAACAACAATGGCAGACAGTAAATGTTTAACACCTTCCTCAGTTGTCACTTATTTTCTTTGCATAGGCTTCTATTTGTTCCTATCTTTAATTGTTATATACAATTACCTATTTTGTCATGGTTTTTCTCTTTGGATCACTGATGTACCTTAATAAATATTACATCAGCCTACTGGTAAGGTGCTATCATGGTGCTCGCTTCATAGGTAGAGACATATAGTCATGAACTTCAGAATTGTCCATTAAATTTGGATGAATGGCTTGAGTTGCCTCTAGTGTGATTTTTTTTTTTTTTTTTTTTTCACAAATGTAAACTTTTATAGCACTTCATAGAAATAGTAAAAAATTCCCTTCGGTATACCCAGCATTTAAGACCTTACTTGCCCTGTTGCCGTTAAAGTCCACTAAGGGCAAAAGAAAAATTCAGTTGTCAAACCATGAAACCATGTTCCTTTTTTTCATTAAATCTTTTAACTTTTCAATGGAAAAAATTTATAAATGCAGTATCTTTTTTTAACAGTCATAATGGGAAGTCATTCCCACTAACACCACAGAAGGAATAGATAGGACCCAGGAGAATGCAGTTGTGGTTTGTAGCCAAAAAAAACCCCAAAGTCAGGAGACCTTCAACATGACAGGAAGCATAAAAGTATTTCATATGTATTCAAGTAAGCTGGGTCATAGTGCTAACTATCTGTGGAGGGATAAAGTGAGAATCTGTAGAAGACATAGCTACAAGGTACTTGGTTCTGCTTGTGATGCCAAATGGCAGATAAGTTGACAGGCCTCATGAGCGCAACTGTGAAGATAAAGGAAACTAGGAGGCTGAGGAAGATCTAATGAAAAGGAAGATCCACTAAAGAAAGTACTGGAAGACACTTTGCTGGATTTGGCTAGAGTCAAGCTGTAGGTTTCCTTGTGCAGGACACGGGGACAAAGTCCCATGGGAAGGGAGATTGTGTGAAGGGCAACAGGTTGGGGAATTTTCCTGGCTGGAGCCTGTAGCAACCAGGAACGGGCTTAACTGACAGCCCAAGCAAAGCGTCCTAGGTAGATAAATGCAGTTTAAAGTTGGTGTCCTAGGAGCCAATTAAACTTACAACAAAATTGAAAGCAAGCTTTGCAGTCAGTTTTATATCTGTGAGAAGACCTGGTGACAAGCATGACACATGGGAAGCTCTCATTAATGGGGAAAAGTGAGATATAATTGATATTATTGAAACCGCATGGGACAACTCATAAGAATGTGGAATCAGTACTTACAGTCTACTTAAGGATAGAGTGGCTGAGAGGTGGAGGGCAGTATGCAACGTTAAAGACACTGGTACCTGCCTTAAAGTGAATTAATACAAGGATCTTGAATACATATCAATCAGTCTACTGATTAACAAACCCAAGAGGGTAGTACTCAGTCGCAAATGGAGAATGAGGTACATTGCTTCTTGAGCCCTTGGCTATAAAAGGCGTGTAAAAAGAAAATACCATTGTATGGGAAGCTTATGCTGTAGATGAAATACAGATAATGGTGAAATGTAATTAGCCTGAAAATTGCAAATGATAATTTTCTGGCATAAAATGTACTACTTCCAGTACAAGGCCGTTTGGTTTGAACAGCTGTATGGGAGCTTACAGTGATGAATTCGTCTAGGAATTCGTGTTGCGTAGGGACAATCTTCTCCATAATTTTATAATGTTCAGTGTAACCAAAAGATACTTCTAAACAGTGAAATTACATATTTGAGTGGTCAGGAAGAGGAATTTTCAAAAGCAAAAGGGAAGTATAACCAAAATTAACTGGAAAGGGAAGTGTAAAGAACAACAACAAAAAGAACACAAATGACTTTTTGAGGAAGAGGATAGTAAAAGTATGTCCTGTGTCACTGCCAACACAGAATCAAATGATATAGAATGAATGGCAACTAGTTATGACTTGCAGGAAAATTAAAGAGAAACTAAAGGTCATCAGCAGATACCATGTCTACTCAGCATGTAAGACAAGTGGGAGTTTTGATATGGTGTATATTATCTGAATGTCATTGGCTTATTCTTAGTTGGAGATGGAAGCACTATTAATAATGATGTGTAAAAAGGAAAACATGTTGCAAAAAATACTTGTTCTAGGTGAAGCAGAACAAAACATTTGTTTCACTAAAGGATAATAAAATAACTTTCAGTCTGTTAATAGTTAGCATATGTTAACAGTAGCCTGCGGGTACATTTTGAATCATGGGAGTCCTACAAAACTAGGCTGAGATTTCTGACTAGTTTTTTATTTGTGATAAATGTTGGAGTGCAAGAGAAATTCCACAACACTAGAAGAATGCTATTATGTGCCACTATTAAAAAATAAACTAGCAAAATCCACACAAGCATGATGGCTGGTATAACTGCAAGCTGTCAGTCATTTTTTATTCCCGAAAGGGTACTGGAGAATCTGGATCTGGATTCACACCGTGCATGACTAAAGAATGGAAATTAAATTAATTCCAGTCTCTCAAATTTTTTTGAAAAGGTCGAGTTTTGTAGATGCTGTTCTTAATAAGAAACTGGCATTATACAGTGTCATGAAAGTATTTGTTAAATGGATTGGTAAGTTAGTTAACCAGCATATAAAATGAATTATTACTGAAGGATTGTTGTGGAGTGTAGCATTTCTGATGAAAACGTTTTTCTACTGAGCCCAGGACAATCATTTTTTTTTTCCCCCCAGCAGTTTTGAATATAACGTAAATGCTAATACAAATACGCTATAAATACAAAGAGTGCTGTGTGCATGGGGGGAGGAGCAATGAAAATGTGGATGCTGTGTGCAATTTGTTTCTCAGCAGAACTGAGATTTTGGGGGAGGAGGGAGAAGGTTTGTTTTCTTTTGGCTTTTTTGAATCTAAGCAAACACAACATTTTACATCTATAAATTGGGAACAGAGATGATATCCCCAGGAGGAAGAGACTGTGTCCTAGGTATAGTGGCTTGGAAATAGATAAACGTTGTAATGAACAAGCAGCTCGAAAGGAGCTTCTGGTCCAGTGTTAGAGCATTTAGACTTGATTTAATCTGTGATGGGTAGAACGGAAATAAATAGGGGGGTAGGAAGTTTATTTGAATTTTGAAAACATCTCAGATTGATGGCAGAACGTTAGGTGTGCTTTTGACATCTGAATTTTAGAAAAGACATTGAAAAACCTGAAGAGGCTGTTGAGAAAGCCACGAATCATTTGATCCAGAGAATTTGTGCCCTCAGATAACAGACTTACGTTCCAGTTTGTTCAGTTCCTCATAAAGAGGACTGGAAGATGATTTGATAATGTACAGCTATTTCTGGAGGAAAAAAAATACAGGTATTAATGGGCTCCTAGATCTAGTAGAAGGCAGCATAATGAAAGCCAGAGACTACAGAGAGATTCAGATAAAAAAAAAAAAAAAGAAAAAGAAAAAGAAGAAAAAGCATTCATACGTTTGAAACAGTGAAGGAAGTGGCAGAGCTTCCTTGTATTGTGTTTTGGGTCAAAACTGGGTGTCGTTTTAGGAAGAGGTGTTTGTGTTTGAGAGAAGTACTGGTTGTTAGGCTCAGCTGTCTCTAAAATACAGGAAATTGAAGGATCTCTTGGTCTCCTCTGGTCTTAAATTGTCTGAAACTAGGGACGTGGGAGA